GCTCATGGAAATTTGCACAAAATTCAAACGTGGCAAAAACTCACGTATGCAATTGTCCCCGTGCACGGGCTCCGCCAATACCTCAAACCAAACAGGAAGTCAGCCATTTTGGATTTCGTGGTAATTTCTGGCAATTTTCGCCGTTGCATTGCATGCAGGGAATTTATCGGATCGACTCCACATTTTGACACAGCCATCTAAAGACATTCATGATTAAAAGTTTCGCTATTTATAACATTTCGCCGAACATCGCGGATGTGGCGTGGCGTACAATTTCGATACTTCGCCATGAAAACAGAAAGTTGTCATAACTTCGGCGTACATGATTCGATCGCAACGAAACTTCACGTTTGATAAGAGTCCCGCCCTGAACACGTCTATGTGATAATATTCAGTAATAGTGAGAGCGCCACCTGTGGCAACAGGAAGTATAACCTTTATACTTTCATGTTCTACTCCTAGCAGGATGATCAGATCCAGCTGAAATTTACTTATGAAATGCAAAACACATTGTTGATGATATGTGATGAATGTGGTGAGTGGGCGTGTCTGTGGCGTGGCCTCAAATTTTGATGCACCGCCACAAAACACGAGTTTGCTGTAACTTGAGTGTACATTGTCCATTCGGCTCCAAACTTCACTTGTCTGATAAGAGTCCCGCCCTGAACTCATCTATGTGATAATATTCACCAATAGCGCCACCTAGTGGTGGAATTTATTACACTTTAACGTATTTCTCCCTGCAGATTGAACACATCTAGCTGAAATTTGGTCAGAAGACCCTTAGAATGTTGACAATGACATCTTGACGAATTTTTATTGAACAGTGTTGCCGTAGCGACACGACGAGCATTGTTTTAACATTTGATCGCATTTTGCGGGGGCTAAACAGGCTCAACACATCATTAAACTTGGCACACACGTCCCACATGGCAGCATTTTACATTTCATAGGGATGTTGCCTGTGGGTGTGTCAAAATGGCTCGATAGCGCCCCCTACAAACTTTCAAAAAACCAGCCCTGGTGTCCTGTCTAGGGGACATGAATGAAAATTGACAGGCATATATATCAAGTTAGGATGTACAAAATAGCCTCTTGGACCCATAACCCAAACAAAACAGGAAGTCGGCTATTTTGATTTTCATTTTCACTTTTGGCGGCCATTTTGATTAAGAGTTTCACTTTCTGCAAATTTTTGCGTTGTATTTGAACAGACTCCTCATCGGGAATTTATCGGATCTGCTTCAAAATTTGTCAGTACAGTCAAAAGGTGTTGCTGATTAAAATTTGTGCTATTTGTGACTGTACGTCCAAGGGCGTGTCTGTGGCGTGCCGTCACAGTTGGCCAGGTTGAATCAAATGTCAAACTGTGATGCCATTTCCTCATAAATTTGAGCTAAGAATGTCATAATGCAGGGATATAAAGCAAGGACTTGTAAAACAAGCCACAGTCCACTCAAATTACTCTTCTGGACAGAACATGTACATGACTTGAGGAATGTGAGAAAGTGCGTATTTTTGTAATTTAGCTTAACTGGCCCTTTAAAATCTCTAAGTAAATGGGTTTAAACACATTAAACAAAGGTCTGGTCCTCGAAATTGACAGTTGGCAAACATACTGCAGCAGTAAAGCAGTATAGCACTGGTTTTCCACCTGGGGGATTATATCGCAGCATTTCATTCATTCATTTCTGTGAAGAAAATAAAATGAAACTGTTATTTTTAAAGTTTAGATCATTTAAGATAGAAACATAACATTAAACACAGGATAAGGCCAAGGTGAAGGCCTGAAGAATAGCTGTATTCACAGAGAGTATTCACAGGTGAACAACCGTCAAACTGTGACAGTAAAAGACCCAAAACTCTAAGTGAAATAATACAATTAATATGGAATAAAAGGGTTTTTTTTATATTATGGACTGTAAATTGCACAGAAAACTACCATATCTAATGGCAAAAACTTTTTTTATACAGCATTCATATGGTATTTTCATTTCTTTTGATGGTAAAAACTTGTATTTATACAGTGAATAAGGAATAAAACCCTAACTCAACTTTAACCATACAATCTGGCAACCACAGCTGCCAGTTTTTCACTGTAAAAAAAAAAAAAAAAAAAACGGTCCAGTGTGTAACATTTGATGGATATTGTCAGAAATGGAGTATAATATTCATAGGTATGTTTTCATTAATGTATAATCACCTGAAAATAAGAATCATTTTTGTTCTCTTAGAATAAGACATCTACAGATGCCACGGGTCGCAGTCCTTAGAGTCTGCGCTGTTTCTACAGTGGCCCAGAACAGACAAACCGAACACTAGCTGTAGATAAGCCTACCATAGTTTCTCTTTTGTGCTTAGAAGAGTAGGGTGAACCGAGGGAATTGCAATCTGCAACTACACAGCTAGATGCCACTAAATCCTACACAGTGGTCCTTTTAGCCTATTAAGTATTTATGATTGTTCAAATCTAAAAAATACATTTTAGTTCCTAAAAATATCAGGAAAACTCATCTCTCAATATTCACAGGAAATTATCTGCTCAAAATTCATTCAAATTACTTGTTTTATGGGAAAATTAAACACATTATCCCTAAATTGATATTTAAAAGGGTTTTAGTATCACAGACACGTCTGCATGTGTGTTTGTGTGTTACGTATCAATAGAAGTGTGCGTCTGTTCAGGGGAGGGCGACTGAGGCACGTGTGTGTTGGAACAGAGCGTGTGTGTGTGTGTGTGTGTGTGTGTTGGCGTATGCTCTAGGGAGAACATATGCTGGTGTTGACTGTGGAGATGGGAGGGGAGTGGGGTGGGGGCAGCTGGCGTGTGTCGGGTCAGGGGTCTACAGCTGTTGATAGCAGGGTGGTACACCGACACAGATAGGGGGATCTGAGGCACCGACAGCCCGCGCTCTGCACCCGTCTGGATGTGAGTGATGAAGCTTGCTGGGTGCCTTGTAAGTGAGAAGTGGGCGCCGTGTCTGCAGAGGCCGGCTGCACAGATGGCCAGGCTGCTGATGGTGGCGAGACAGGGAAAAAAATGGGTATAAAATATGCTCAGAAAACAAGAAGGTAACCAATATGAAGCAAACAGATTGTCCTGGGTTTATGGATAGCCCCTTATGATAGACCATATATCAGGCTTTATATAAAAATCTGATTTTAGTTCTTCGAATGTGGTCCACCTCTTATTTATGACGCACTTTGATTGATTTAGTATTTACAGTGGCAGTTAATAGATGTTACACACATTGTCCATGAAAAGCCCTTATTCTAAAATCATTCTAATAAGTTTGTACCATAGTTTTTGGAAGTGTGCTTGTTGCTTTCCTCCAACTTATCTACAACCACTATAGTTAGTGACCGTTGACCCCAAAATCAAAAACACATATTTCTTCTCTTACTTGTAGTGCTCTTTATCCATCTAGATTATTTTGGTTGAGTTTAGGAGTTACCAGCCATTGAATTGTCTGCCTTCTCTCCAACATAATGGAACCAGATGGTAATCGGCTTGTGGTGTTCATAGCGCCAAAAACGGTTGGCGAGTGTTGTTCGGTAGAAAGAAAATAGTTCCATTATATTGGAGAGAAGGCAGACTTGTTTGAAAGATTGTCATGTTTCAAAGGAACCATAATTGACTGTTCATAGTAGACAAGATGGTCTTGCTCAATGGGGCCTGGTGCACAAATGAGCTGTGGGCCCCTCTGGACCCCCTGCCGCTTGTGTTTTATGTCCAGGGCCCCTCTATAAGACCAGGCCTCAAGATTAGGTGAAAGAGCATGAGCCACCTTATCATTTTGGTTATATTGTACTTCAGTGGTGGTTATTATCAAATAATGTATTAATTGATTGATACAGTGACCACAAACTAATTTATTTTGACAAGGGGGTCTGTGGCCCTTGGGTCGTTTTTGGCCGATTGGTAATGAATTCATTAATTCGGCTCCTCCAAGGTAATTGTAATTGTAATTTTTACTATATTTTATTTTTTGTACACATTATTGCCAATTTTATTTGTTTCTCCTCCTGTACTCATAGGCAATGATGATGATGATGATGATGATGATGATGATGATGAAATGATAAAGGTAAAATGTGTGACAAACAGCATTATATTGAAGTACTGTAGTGCTGCAGAGATGCCCTGGCCTACAAATCTTCAGTGAAAATGAAAATTGAGATGCCTAAATTATCGTAATTATTGTAATATCTGTCAGAATTGTTTTTCCTTGATTTACATTTCTTACTTTATATTTGCCTTTGGATTATGTTTGCTGTTTGTTTGCTTTTGGGGATTAAATGACTTCTTTATCTGCTTGTAATGCTTATTGTGGTGCAATTCCCTCTACTCACCGCTGTGAGTTTTTAAATCTCACCTGCACAATTTTCCTATTTTCCATTGTTTGTGGTTCTGCTTTTGGAAACAAATCAATCTAATCGCAATCTGATGGTTTTTTTAAGAATCCTGTACAGTATGATTATCCCACATCTATACTAGTGGTTTGCTGTTACTTCTGAGGTTTTACATTCAGTTCAGAGGTGCTGGTGGAAACCCAAACAGAACAAACAAAGTGTGTGGAGGAGTTGCAGTGTGTATTTCAAAAGATAAGCCATGCATAGTGCTCTTGGCAGTGTGTCTTCTGCAGGACTCTACACAATCTGTCTATGTCTTTGATTTCCAATCTCAGTGTGACTTCACATTATACAGTAGTGATTGATGCAGAACAGTAACACTGCTGTAAACAGCCCTTGATATCAGTTCTGGTACCAACTGGTGAACTAAATTGCGACTGTAGTGTCTAATCGGTGTGAGTTGCTGCTCTCTCACCGGGCAGGACGATGGTCAGGCTCTGGCAGGCAGATGCGGTGTGTTGCTCTCAGTGGGAGCTCTGCTTTCTCGTCTTGCAGGTTCTTGTCGATCCTGGTGGAGCCTCCTGCCATGGTCCTGCTAGATTGCCATTGCCAATACTGTTGTTGCTGTGCACGTCTGTCTGTCTGTCTGTCTGTCTGTCTGTCTGTCTCTCTCTCTCTCTCTCTCTCTCTCTCTCTCTCTCTCTCTCTCTCTCTCTCTCTCTCTCTCTCTCTCTCTCTCTCTCTCTCTCTCTCACCCCAACTGGTCGAGACAGACGACCACCCACCTAGAGCCGGAGGATCTGTCCTAGGTTTCTGCCTCTTAACAGGCAGTTTTTCCTTGCCCTTGTCGCCAAGGTCTTGCTCATGGTGGTACTGTTGGGTCTCTGTAAATAATGTTTTAAAGAGTTCGGTCTAGACCTGCTCTATTTGAAAAGTGTCCTGAGATAACTTCTGTTATGAATTGGCGCTATACAAATAAAATTGAATTGAATTGCTTTCGGCCACATTAGATTTCTGTCCAGCTGAGTATCGTTCCTTATTACTGAGTAAATAATAGTGATATATTTTATCAGTACTATACAAATAAATACCTTAAAATAATCATCCTTGTACACAAGTCTACCCTCAAATGCAGATTAATAGTATTGGCAGCAGTTTTATTCTAATTCAATCCCTGGGCTAAATGATACTTGTGAGCTATGTTTACGTTGCAAGCCTTAGCTCGCAGTCCTGCAAGTCTGATTGATTGCTCAGATCTGGTTTATTTATTTGGCTGTTGACTTTATTTTTTTGATTCCAGTGAGAACAGGTCATGGTCCTGAAGTGACCAGTGTGGCGAACATACAGTAGATCTGGAGTGACATAAGAGGTCACATTCATTTTGGGGTGCCCTAGCTCACCTGGAAGAGCTGGTGCCCAATGTATCAAGGTTGAGTCCTTGCTGCAGTGGCCATGGGTTTGAGTCCAACCTGTGGCCCTTTTGTTGCATGTCAACCCCTCTTTCTTTCCCCCTTTTGTGTCCATAGGCAAAAAGCCTAAACATATATTTAAAAAGTCACATGAATTCTGATATGACTGTTCAGTTCACATTGCAAAAAATCTACAGAATTGAAAAGATCAGATGAAAATCAGATTCCATGTGATTTGTGCTGTTCACACTGTTACAGTTGTGTTAGCTTTGGTGAATCATGCTGCTGCATCACTTCTTGATATGTTTCTAAATGTCTGTATTTTGTAATCCTATTTAAACAATGGAAAGCATCTCTCTGGGCCTATATAAAGGTTTGGAGTCACCTGCCACGAAGCTTGATTCTGTACAGTCAGATGGTTGAGAGGACTGCTCTATGTTTCTGAATGCTCTTTCATGCTTTGAGTTTGTAGAAAGTCAAATGTCAATGGGGTTTTGTACATGGAGGACAAAACTGTATTATGGATCAACCAGACTGAGAGAGACAAAGGTCCCTCTAAGCAACAGTTCATTAAGAATCTAAGAAATCAGTCATTGGTCAAATGAACTGGAATTAACAGGCCTGTACTTTAGCAAAGCTATTCTCTTCAGAGGTTTGGTGTTGGTTGAATATCAGCTGAACATACTATGGACTGACAGAACCCAGTTTAAACCTGTTCCCACTGCAGAGGGCCCAAAGAAACACTGGTTCCCAAAATATTTAGAGCCCAGTTGCATTGTTGTGTTTCAGTAATCTGGAGTCACTGACACTTTTCTGGACTGGAAAACAAATTCATAATAGAAGGTTACAACAGAATCCTCCCCTGTTATGCAGCACTGTAGGGACGAAATAGAAGTATTAATCATTTCATTCTTATTCTTTTTGGACCCAAAGTGTTTCAAATGTGAATAATACATTTGGTGTCTGAATTATTATTGTTTTTATTGTAAACCTCTATAACATTTGTCAACAGTGTCATGATATTACCATTCATTTCAATATCAGTGTGTATGCATCTCTTCCTGTGGAAAACATCTAACGTCTAACGCTACCTTTGTGTACCTTTTTTATTCCAGGCTTTTACAGCGAGCATCCACTGGAGTCAGAACAGAACGACAGCATGGGTGAGTTCACAAACATGCATTTATCATCAGCTGGAAGGGTGCAGCTCAGTCTGTATATTTCCAAGCAGTCAATTTTAATTGACTTCTCTTCTTCACTATGTTTTTCCCACTTCTGACTTAATGACAGAACTCACACAACCACAAATATCTCTGTTCAGGCGAGTCTGGATCAGTTACTAAATATAGGAGCTCCATCTAGTGGTAAAGGAGAGGACTGCATTTTTATTAAATTACTCATAATTTCCTGTCAAATCCACAAGAGGGGAGTATAAACTCAATAATAAAGGAGCAGCTTCTTCTATAAGCATCAGGCTCTTTAACAGGTAACTGGGAATAACATTGTGTGTGGAATATAAACAAATGATAAATGGACGCCTTTCTAGTCTTCCGACCACTCAAAGCGCTGTGTGTGTGTGTGTGTGTATATATATATATGCCACATTCACCCTTTCACATACAATCATACACTGATGGCAAAGGCCTTTACAAATGGAAAGTATTTCATTCATACACATTCACAAGCAAACAAACAAGCAGCTGCAGATTTACAGGATTATTATTATTTGATTATTATTTCCATTATTTCTTGCTTCAGGTTGAGAAATACATCTTTCTGTCTTATATTTAGTTCCATTGGATGTGTATATGTATGTTGGTTAAGTGGTCCGAGGACATAATGTCATGGATAAAAAGCAATCCTAAATTGTGAGATGTAAAAATGTCAGAGATGTGTGACTCTTGGCCGGAAGAAACTGGGAGCAAGGGGCCAGGGGTGAGGCAGTGGTCCAATGTTAAGGTCCAGGTTCAGGCGAAGTTCACCCGGGAGTACCCTGGCTGCCATCGCAGCGCCAGGTGGCACCATGGGGGGTCAGAGGTCGGACACAGTTCAGAAACTGCTGACCTCGCCGTGACTCTGCACTGACCTGATTGTGTGCAGCTCTCCTCCAGCCTGGGCTTTCTCATCGCTCCCTCTATAAACCTGTGAGAGGAGAAAGAAGGGAGGAGGGGGGGGGGGGTGGCTAAGAAGTGGAAGGAAGCTGGAGAGGAACTATTAAACCTGCGCACACACTGAATGGCCAGCATTGTTGCGTGCTGCGGGAGGAGGCGTGGATTTATGGGGCTGGGCCTGATTGGGTTGTAAACTTGACGAGGTGGGCTCACGGCCGCGGCCACTCTCTCTCTCTGTTTGCCCTATTCTCCTCGGTGCATGCACTGGGCAAGGGTGACGCTGGGGTCAAGGGGGGCTGCAGCAGGACTCCTCAGGCTTGTAAATGCTCTGACAGGGGTGGGAATTCAGAGACCCCCATTCAGTGACCAAAAAACTCAGGTCAGGGGCCAAATAGCTGAGTTAGCAACAGCTGTTTTCAACACTAGTTGAAGTTCTTACGTCAACTTGGATATTTCAAATAAGATAGCTTCGCTGTTTCCCTCAACCCTTCATCTCAATCCTTCTCCTCAAACTTGGAGAATCCATCTCCATGAACCTGCAGATGGTCATTTATTGGGGATTGATTTGCACTTCATAGGGTTATAAACCTAAGAGAGTGCACTGTCGAGGCACAGATGTAGCTTTTTGGGGTGGTGGTAAAATGCAGGAGTCCATAAAAGCTCTAGCTGCACACTTCATTCACTCACACATCCGCTTGGATCCATTGTTTGTCTTTTCAGTTTCTCATACTAGATGTTAATCATCATTTAGACTTCAAGTAAATAAGTCCTATGCTTCATATTAAATTCTGTTTTGTAACCTGCAATCAAGGAATGTTTTGCCTCCATGGCTCCTCCTTTGTTCACCTCTGGGCTGACCTGGCTCTGTCGCCTGGTTTAAACTCGTCCCCGACCCCCGCTACATTTGCTCCAACCACACAGCTGACCAATAGCTGCAGAGCAGGTCCCCTCTGGGGTTATCAGGGTCTTTTGGTGACTACGTCTGTTCCGTGGTTAATCATTACCAGCTGGGGATTGCACTTTCTCTCCTCAACTTTGCCCCTGAGTGGTTTCACTGACTGCATCTACATGCAATTCTCAGTTTTTTGGGGTAAACTTTAACCATCATCCCCTTGGGAAATGTACACAATACGCATGAAAATTTGGGTTAAATAATAAGTGTTATATCTACCATCTAATTTTTAGGTTCCACAATGAAAATAATAATAATAGGGAAATGCTGCACAAACATAAAAACATAAAATATACAATCCAGAAATAGCCAGCTGGAGATAAAAGACAGTGAATAAAAGTCTGTAAAAATAAATAAATAGAGACCATAAAACCAATAAAAATAGCCTAAAAGTCTATTGTCCAACTGTATAATCATGTGGATGATGGAAAGTTCTGAAAGAATGATCTAGTTTCACTGGTCACTAATTTGTCATGAAACCTACCTCATAAATCAGCACCAGCAGCCGCAGGCCTCCTGCAGCACTGCACATTCCAGGCCATGAGGGGGCAGTAGATCCTTGCTGGACCTTCATGCTCCCACGTGCCACCTGGACCCAATGAACTCAACACCCATATGGAACTACTTGGCTGGAACCCAGCACATGCCTTTCCTTTGTCCTCACATAACTGGGCTAACTTCATATGCCTGTGTCCAAAAGTCATTCTAGATCAGCAGGTTCTCATTTTCCTGCACAGCGGAGCAGTCGAACACTTGACGCCACATCAGATCCTTGCCTTTGTTTCTTTAAGGTGTTTTTTCTCCTTTTAAAAATTATTTCACTGTTAGCCTGAGGGCTGTGTTTGGCAGAAGTGTATGTATAGAGAGGGGGATGAAAAACGAAAGGCCACTAGTAGCCTTTTTTTTTTTCACTTTTCCTTGTCTTCTCCCATGGGTGCCCCAGGCTTTTGCACTCCGAACATGGCGTGAGTGCTGCAGAGTGTTTGGGAGCTGCTCCTGCTGCTGACCTACCATGTTTTCTTATCATTTTAGCCTTTATTAATTCATGATTAGCCTAGATTTGATTCAGTGTTCCCTTTTTTCTCGCTTGATGCAACTCGCGTTGGCGTTGGACTCGGGGTCAGCCCGCGGAGTGTTTCCAGGTCAGGGAGAAGTGGGTCACGCTGTTCCCAGTGTCAGTGCCTATAACTTCACAGTGTGTGATGACAAAGCCCAACTCCACAGGGATAAACAAGCAAGCTTTTGTGTGGCCCTAATATACGTAGCAAACAGGCCTCTGTAGATATACTACTTTACTCAAAGCTGCGGTAAACCTGCGCTGACATTTCATTAAGTCATTCACTTATTTATTTGTAGATTAATCCCTCGTTTAAAGTCAGTAATGTATCCCAATTTCCCAAAGCTTTAAAAAGCTGCAGACTTTAAGGAGCTTAATTTTATATAATTTTGGCTTGTTTCAGGCAAGGGTATGATTTTGAGAGAAACCCTAAATTAGAGATACAAATGTCTTATTAAATTTAATATGTTGGCTTTTTACCACATTTACCTTCAATTGTTTAAAAATTACGATTTTATACATACATACATATATATATAAGCACAGTAGTTCTATTAAACTCATTTTACCCATAAGATTTCTGTCTATATGACCAGGACTCGCGGTAAATCTGTGTATGTGACTGTGCAGAAATAGCATCAGACTGCTTCTCATTGTGCCGTCTGACACTTTACCACTGCAAATACAGAAGAGAAAAAAAACAAGTGTTTTCCAGCCAGAACAGATCCAAAACGCATATGTGTTTGAAATTTCCCAGAATGTTAACATAACCTTATAGGGCAATTACTGCTAGATTATTTCCATATGTCTATATCTCCTCCAATTCCACAGTTAAATGGGGTTACGAGGCTGATTAACTTTCCAAGAATTATGGGCACAATTGTTTCACTTTTTAGAAGTGTATATGTATTTGAGTGGGTTGACTTTAACTGAGGCAGAATTACCTATGTGTAACATTTTAGTGATAGTACATTAGGTGTGACTGTCCTGTAATTACAAAAGTCCCAGGTACAATCCCCGCAGCAGCCTGTCTGTCTTTGAAAGCGCCGTTGACAAGGTTTTGGCCTTGGAATTCCTGGAATATCATGGAATTACAAGGAACAGTAGCTTTATTGAACAGTCAGATTTTCCAGCTTGTTTCACACGTTTGTTGCAGTTACTGACTTTCAGTGGAGTGAAAAAAAAACAGAATACAGTTTTGAGAAACGGCCCCGTTTAGCAATGGAAAGTCAGAGAAAAGTCATGGAACTTAACATCTGGGTCATGGTGGGAAGCCTGCTTTAGGCAACATGCTGAACCCCCTACGCTGTGCTTTGGATAAGAAAATGTCTACCCTGAGACTACAGTCAGCAGAACATAATAAAATGAGTGTGTGTGAAACCAAGTCTCGGTCCTCAGCATATACAAGGCCAGTATTAAATAAGGCACTGTTAATGTTCTAACATCAATGTGACAAGATGTTCAAGGATATCATGCTAATGATAACTTTCAAGTACGGTTGTTGGATTGATATAAAGATATTTAGACCCTTGTTTCACAAGGTAATGCTAGTAGATGCTACTGTAGAAACAACATTTTTTGGTGTGTCATTACAATTCTAGGTGTAGTATAGTTGTTTTTTTTACACTTTATCCCATTTGCTACACAGTACATTAGTTACATTTACGACTTAGTACCATACCTATTCTGTTTTTGTGCCGCATCAAATGTGGTCAAGCTTTTATTAGCTTACTACAGGTGAGTAATGAAAGAAAGCAATTAAAATTGCAGTACATGTTTTAAGGTAATTTAGAAACAACTAGGGCTGTTTATTGGCAAGAATCTGAAGGTTATGATACGTATCATGTTACGATCCGATTGCAAGACTATAACCAAGGTGATATATTGTGATTTTAAAAAAATGTAATTTTAGCAAAACTGTCATAGTATAAAGAACACACAAGCATATGCACACAATTTTAGTTAAAATAGTTTACTTTTTTATACAACCAAAACAGTGGAATCTGCATTTGTATTTATCACAGCCACTGTAACATCCAACTT